AAGCTATTTTAGCTTCCATAAAACAGACCTACTGGGACATAATTTTACAGATCTTGTTTTTTGAATGACGACGAAAATTTTGTAGCATATCCTATAGTGCTTGCTTGATCCAGCATTTCTCTAAAACACATGATTCTAGACACAATTTAGTCGTATGTTTTAAATTGTATGCGATTAGGAGCATATTTCCTTCCATAATATTTCGGCTCTAGTGGGATCAGATTTTGCCGAGGTTGGTTATTGAATGAGATCGTAAATATTTCTAGCAATCTATTATACTATGTAAGGCCGGGAATTTTCCAATCTCTCCATAATACTTCGGCCCTAAAGAATTGTTTCGGCCCTAGTGGGACCTAGTTTTTATCAATTGATAGTTTTCGAAGACGTTAGCCTGCATTTAAAATTGCCAAGGAGACTTAACATGTTGTCGTATACAAAAAAAAAACTATTCTGCCGATTTTTCCTTCCATAATACTTCTGCCCTAGTGGGACATAATTTTACAGAGGTTGAATTTTGAATGAGTTGGTAAAAATTTGAAACCTATCCTAGCGGGCTTTTTTGATATTTGTCTTAAAATTTAGAGAAAAAATTAATAAATTAATAAAATGTAAAAAAAGTATCCAAAAAAACACTCACCACCTCCATTATCAACCAAACCGGCAAATGGATTGCGTGACAACGATTCCGTTGCAGCATTCATCATTGGCTCTTGAATGTCACGATAGATACGTTGCAAAGCATTATAACCCCCTGGGACCGATTCCAAATTCGACAAAGCACGATCATGCGAACGCATCAGTTCCTGCAACATTGAAGGATTGCGAGCCAACTCCATGGTCTGACGCAATAATTCAGGATTATTCAACATGTGTGATATCTCCGGATTACGTTGCATTAAATCTTGCATTTGTGGATTCGAGGTGATTAACTGACGCATAACATCGGGATTATTCATCATTTGTTGAACCATGGGATTGTCCAACATGGTACGCAACAAATCACCGTTATTCATTAATTCACTTTGCATGCGGGCTTGTAAATCCATAAAGGTGCCTGAACCGGCGCCCAAAGCTTCCATGCCGGAAAGGCCACCCAAAGTGTTGAGGCCAAATGGTGTTTGACGAACATCAGCCGGTGGACGTTGGGTGGTTTCATTATTACGTGTCTTTGCCTTGATGACCAAGTGTACGGTTAGACCATCCTTGATGTTGTGCGTTTGCAGGGTATCAGTGTCCTTCATAATTTTACCGGCAAAAATTAAAACCAGCTGTTCCGGTTCAGCTTCAAATTTTTCAGCCACCAAGGCCTTGAACTGTAAGAAGATGGGGAAAAACAAAATTAATAAAAACAATAAAAAAAATTAAATGAGAAAAAAATAGCAACAACATGTTTAGATAAACAAATTAACAACAAAAACATGTGCTACTTGTTTTAATTTATTATGGTGATGGTGGTGGTGGTTGATGCTTTGAGTTCCGTAAGGTCATCTAGCAGATTTATTCTGGCATTGACATTTTGCAAGAACACGTCATGACACTGTTTGATCATGCTTGCACATTGCTTTCTGGGTCATTGTATTTAAAACAAAATAAAACACAATTCATTTTTTTATTTCCTTTCCCTCTCTCTCTCTCTTCGCTTTCCGCATTTCCATTAAATTCAGGTGATGGGATGATTTGTTTTCCCGTCATAGGCTATAGTGAATGCACCACTCACTGTACTTTGACACACATGATATATTTACCGCCACAGTTTATTATTTTTTTTTTCTCACTTGAATTCCACCCTCCCCCTAACCTTACCCTCCTCCCCCATCCCACACTTTACTCTAATCACACACTCTGAGAGCCATTCACAGTCATAATCTACCATCATTTAATTCATTACAAAATGCCATACGTCGGCAGCGCAAACCCGCCGCCTCTATCCGCTGCCGACGTCCCAATACCCAATGAATGATATGACCCTTTTTTCGGTCTCTCAAATTGCTCAAAATCAAATCCAAATTTCGTCATTTGTATTACAGCATTCCAACCACACTTACATCCTTAATTCCAGAATCTTCATCCACTTCGATCATTTTCTTTTCTTTTGGTGTTTTTACATTAACAATAATTCTTCTGTTTCCACCTTCAGCCATTTTGCTTTGCTCTTTCTTGTCGTTTTTTGCTGAGTAACTTTTTTCTTGCAGTTGGGGGAAATTCACTTTCTCGTGTTATGTTTTTGCGTTTAACTTCACTCTTTTTTGTTTTTTAATTCGCAATGAATTGAAAATCGTAATTCGATTCGTAATTTGACAAAATATGTTGTAATTTTTAATGTGAATTTGGGTATTTTTTTTCTTTTAATCGAATAAAAATAATTCGTCACTTTTTTCACCAGTAGTTAGCCGTAGTGAGCGATAATGCCATATCGTTTATTGTGTGAGTGGTGGGTGAGATGCCATATGCATTATTAATGACAATCACTGTAAATTGATAGCAGGCTTAAATTGATAACATGTCTTGCCTATAGCAACTACCAATTATCACATAACCGCAGGAAGGGGAAAAAAATCAGCCGGAAAAGATCAAAATCGGACGGGGCCGACAAAGTTCTATTAATAAGTTCATCCAGGGAGACCAGCCTTCAAGTTTCCTGTCAAAATCCATTGCTGTTGTGAATGGACTTCCATTATGAAAATGTAAACAAAGTCCAAATTTTTGACATTAGACTTGAGAAAAAACAGCTGTTTTTTGCTAGCTGGGTAACCTTATTAATATATCTTGGGAACTCATATTATAACCCACAATTTATTACGAATTCGTGTTATATCTATAGCGATTTGAACTAAAATGGCAACCGATATAAAGCAATGATAAAATTAGAAGCTTTAGCCGCATTTTTGCACCGATGTGCCTGTAATTTGGTTTAAAGGGTTCTTGAAGACTGTATGTTTATACAGAAAATTATCAATATAATTACGAATTTTGGCATAGCCCATATAAGGGTGGCGCCCAATTGTCAGTATTTGAATGTTTAGTCGCAATTCCAGATTGCAGTTGCTTTTATTTGACATTTCGGGATATTTGAGGGTGAAACAAATATTTGGGGAAACATTTAGGGGTCAAAGTTTAGATATGACCCCACCGTTTTCCGAACATTGTATTGTTTGATCGAAATTTTCCATCGAAGTTGCTATAATTTGGCATATCCGATACCTGGTGAACAGAAAAAACATATTTCCAGGCACTTTCACCAGCTGGTCCCAAAAAAAGAAGTCTCGGTGGTCAATTTTTATTACCCCCTCTCATGTCCACAGTGTCATCCGCAGAGCTAAATCATCTAAAACGTAGGGTTCGATCGAATATCTGCGGTAATGTTTAAACAGCTAGATCGGGCAGAAGTTGAGTTTCTGACTTCTCGAAGCCTGGACATTGACAGGGTAAAAATTTACTAAATTCAGCAAAGGTGAATCGTACAGACCGATTTCACATGTGTGCTCCAGTAGCGAAGCAGAAAAATGTGAGTAGTATGAACACAAACTTGATATCTCCGGAGCTGTTCAACTTATATCACCGGTATTGAACACCCTCCAGAAGACATAGGGATCGTTACGTTAGCGGACATTTGTACGATCATGGCATCGAGTCTGGTCATTAACGGTTGAACATCTATGTTGTCGATTTGAAAGAGTTTTTCCCTGCGAGGAACATTAAAAATATCCGCCACGGCAATAAAAGTCCCTGTGAATGTACTACACCAAAATTCTCGGGGTTGCGGGACTGTGAAAGCCACAGCTATCTGCGAAACGAAAAAGAGTTTCTCACGGAGGGGTTCACACCGACAATGGAACCTTGACGACATCATATAAGGCGATAGTTAGTCTGTCAGAACACCGCACTGAGAACTGCAACGGGACACCTCCTCATGACACCGATAGATCACCAGTATTGCAATATTCTATCGTTGCAGTATTAGCTTGTGTACTTCAGAGAGAGAGAGAGAGAGCAATTCTAAGCATCATATGGTGGAGAAATTCCCTACTCAGTCATGTAAAGAAGGATCTGCATGAGCTTAGATATATAGATAAAAAGAATCCAAAATATAAAAGAGAGCCCAACGCTGTGCGAAAAAAAAAAACATTTTCAATTTGGTCCGATGATTGCTCATTCCACTAATAATTTAGGAAAATTCTGCTTGAATATTCAATATTGGTATGAAAATGAACAAAACTCCTTTTCAGGTACATTTGGGGTCCCATTTTTTTGAACGGCAACATTATCCTCACTGTCTAAATGTATCTCGACCAGGTCTGAAAAGCATTTACACTGATGCAACTGCCGATGCATTCAATGAATACATAAAACATACCGAAAAAATTAACAAAATGTCAAAAACCAGGAGTCAGGTCCGGTCTTAGTTGCCCTAGTTGGGATTCGAACCCACCCATCGCAGAGAACAGACAGAGATCATCGTCTAAACGCACCTTTTATTACTTTCTTGTGTAATCGAAGAGTGTTATCGATTATTCATTGAAGGCGAGTAATCATTTTACTGTGTGTAGCACGACGAGTTATCATTTCATAGTGAATTGCATTCATCAGCTGTTTTGTACTTCTTCCCTGCCCTCTTGGAAAATAAAGAACGTAAATAATCGACAATTATCCATCACACTCATACGTAAACAATAGCCCATTTTCGTGATTTTGTTTTGAGTTTATTCTTTATCAGCCATTCACTGTTATCTCTCTTTATTCATAGCATGTGGAACATTTGGTTTTGATCAGTTCTGCTTGGATTGGATTAGAATTGGAAAAAGGAGTGTAAATCAAGGGATATTGACCTGGAAAAGATAAAAATTAGGTTCGAAATTTCATATCGGTGTTGCCGATAATAAAATCGGTAGATACGAGCGATAAAATAGTGAAAAAACGGGTAAAATTGTATCGGTAAAAGAAAGCACGTGTTTGCTTTTGTTATTGTTTGTTGTTGCACAGATCAGACCCTATTTCCCCCAATGGAATCTTCACGGTTCTTTGTGGCAAATTTGCCAACCAATACCAAGGAAAAGGATTTGCGCAATCTCTTTCAAGACTATGGCGAGATAAAAAATATTGAATTAAAAACCAAAGAGAATCTTGTGGATCCCAGCGATGTGAAAGTGATTGCCTTTGTGACGCTGAATATTGGGGCCGATGATGCTCAATATTGTGAGTTGGGAGTAGAAATATATTTTCGATTTTTTTAATAAAATTTCTTTTTTTTCAGGTCTCAAGGATCTCAATTGGCAAAAAATCTATGGCCAACAGATAAAAGTATCCCTGGCCAAGGAATCTTTCTTGGAACGTTTGAAACGGGAACGTGAAGAGGCCAAGGCAGCTAGTGATGGCAATCAGTTAATGACACCTAAACCGGTTGAGGAACAATCAGAACTTTTGAGTGCTCCCAAATCGAATAAACGTAAAATCTTTGATGTTGATGCAGATTTGGATGATGATGAGGATATTCCAGCCGATTTAATGATAACCAAGAAGAGGGCTTCGAATTCCTTGTATAATGGTAAAATTGTTATACAACAAAGTGAAGATGTCCAGCCCATACATGTTATTGAGGCCAAGAAACCGAAGACTAAAATGGTCAATACCCAATTGGATGATAAGTCCATGAGTGCCGATCAAAAGCGAAAGGAATCATTGAATAAAATGAAAAATCAATATCAGCAGCAGAAGACGGCTATACAACAGGCCCTGCAGGGAATGGTGGGTGTAATTTTCTTAAAAAATAAAATTAATTCTAAGTGAATCCCTTTTTCTCCCTAGGATGCCAGTCAAAAATCCAAAAAGATTAAATTCAGTGATGCCGAAAGTGAGACGGAAGAAGTGAAACAACCAGTTGAGGCTTCCAAAAAATCCAAAACCAACATCTTTGGTTCCGATGATGATGAAGAAGATGGCACCAATATTGAATTCAAAACCCTGCCCACGGGGAAAAAGGGTGAAAAATTAGTAAAAATGCAGGCCCATCAAAGTTTGGATCCACGTTTTCGTATTGATGCCAAATTTGTGGAAGATGAGGATGATGACGATGAAGAGGAAGGCGAGGATAAATCAAATGAAAAACAATCTGCCCATAAAGATGAGGACAACGAAAGAGATTGGCAAATGAATATTTTGGAACAAGTGGTGGGCACAAAATTGGATTCGGGCAAGAAATCCGACAAGGATCACAAAAACAAGAAAATGTTACGTTATGATCCCTCCAAGGATGAACATCAGAAATTTGAACGTTCCAAAGAGGAGCAGCAGAGCAAGAAACCCAAACAGACAAAAACAAAAGAATCCGACCTTGCCACACCTGCTGAAACTCCAGCCCCTGAGGTATCCAAAGAAGTATTTTATGTGGTCAAAGATAGCCTACAAGAGTCTCTACGTACCCGTGGTGAAGGTTTCAGTTTGCTCAATATGTTCGGCCATAACGATCACCATGAGGAACGTGATGAACAACTCAAACAGTTGGGTAGTGAAAAAATTTTAGTCAATAATAAATTAGATAAAATGTTCAACGCTGCCAGTAATCCATTCTCGTATGATTCTTCTTCGGAATCTGAAACGGAAGAGTTGCAGGAACAAGAAAATTCCCAGGCTAAGGCAAATGAACCTGTTAGCAACAAAGATGGAAAGAAATCGAAAAATAAAACAAAAATATCCGTTGAATCATTTTTCATACCGAAAAATGATAATCGCCTGAAGGAGGGCGCATCCTTCTTTATTTACAAGAAAGCTGATGCTGATGGTGCTGAAACTGTAGAGAATTACATGGAGGTGCGTGAACGTTTGAAGAGAATTATTAAAACAAAAATTGCTAAGACGAAAAATAGTTTAGCCAAGTCTGGCTATAAAATTAAAAAGAAGATGCATTGAGGTTTGAATTTGATTTTTTTCAAATTTAAATAAAATCCTTGGTGCATTTAATATTTAGTTAATTGTAAAAATAAGTTTACATTTTGTTTATAATGTAATAAAAAAATAAATGACAACAACAATAAATAAAACAGAATCGGACCCAAAAAGATAAAAATTTATTTTTTGTAAAAATAATATTGGAATATTTTTAAAAAATATTGGAAATGTTTTAAAAATATATTGGAAATATTAAAAAAAATATATTGGAAATATTTTCTAGAGGTTGCCGTTTATAGAAATATAAAAAAGTGTTCATATGTTCCTAAATTTTGGAATTAGGGAAAACTGACCAACCCGATTTTTTTTTAACAAAAAATTTTTCGGTGTTTTGAAGCTTCTTGTTCATTTTTTAACCCAAACGAGGTTGTATTTTGGCATTTTTGTTCTAAGTAGAGGATTCGGACATTGTCCCAATTTGAAAGTCTCGCTACTTTTTAAGTATTTTAAAGGTACTTGCTGAATATTTTAAACTGAAATTCTGTATTTCGAGTTCTTAGAAGCCATAGATCTGCTTATAAAAAAAATCATACCCTATAAAAGGCTCTGTACAATTTTGATTAGTTTGAACGTTCTAGCCACATTTTCCCGTGTAAGTGGCTTCAATTTCATATTTCTAGTACTCTGAGGTTATAGGAACTCCATGCACAAATTTGCTACTATACGTTCCAGCTATATTATAGGCCGCATATAAAGAACCCCACCCCATTTTAGCTATTTTCGAGATTCTAGGCGAATTTTCCAATCGATGTAGCTGTAATTTTCCATATTGGGTTCACAGAAGGTAATGGGCCTACTTGTAAAAAATTTTCAATGTAGATCCATGTTTAAAAAATAGAAATTCCCCACTTTCAACTATTTTTGCCAACGATGTGGCTGTAATTTGGATTTGGATTTATGCATGGAAGAAAACATTCCAAGGGGTATTGGAAACATTAGCCAAATTTCCCAATGTTGTTGTTTAGAAGATGACATTTTGGATTCTTTGTGCTCTCAATCGGGTATTATAGATGCGATTCTTAACTTACCTACCTGTAATGTTTTGGTACCACCCGAATTTTTGTTTATTATATTTTTTTTTTAATTTGGTCGGATTGAACATAGCAATGCTTTACTTATTTCTATCTCACTTTTAAAATGAAATTATTAAAACAACAAAGGTAACCTCACTTAAAAAAAATCGTGTTATTATTTGTTTGGGACTTATAGAATTATTCAATTATCTCACCTTCGCCTAACCTTTCGCTTATAATAGTAAAAACTTATTTAAAAAAAAATCCCAAACTAATCTCATAAATAACCTCGCTTTTATAAAAAAAAAATATTCTAACCTAACTTTCCAATCTAACCTCACAAAACGGCGTGGATTTATTAAAGAATATTTTTCTAAGACCAAAACAGGCATGGATTTAATTTTAATCAAATATATGCTTATGGGATTTGCAAATTTATTTGATTATTTCACATCAGTTAATTAACAATTAATAAAAAAATCCCAAATCCCTAACCTCACTTTTATAAGAAAAAATATTTCAAAAGCATTAGGAATTACTAAATTATTTATTCAATATAATCGGTATTATTATTGCCCAACATGCCTCCTTATAAATTTTTTCTTCTCATTTTTTACTTTTAATTTTATTCTATATTCTAACCTCGCTTTTATCAAAAAACTAAAAAATCTCAATATAACCTCATTTTTATTATAAAATCTTTTATTTTAAATTCTTACACCAGTTAAAAAATCAAAAAAATATTCTAACAAAACCTCCGCGTATAAATGGTAAAGCTCGTGGTTCATTCGACGCCCATATTCACCCATAGATCTTTCGTAGAATTTTTCTTTCAAACTCCCCAAGAGCTCCCTCATCTGATTGCTTACTTAGACCAATAATAAATTATCCAATATCTTTAATTTTTCTACTCCAAACCTAATTTTATAATAATTTAGACAAATTTCAAAAAAAAAAAAAAAAAAAAAAAATATTATTATTTTCTATCCGATAATTTCATTATTATTTTTATTTTGTTTCCATTTCATTTTAGTTTTCCTTCAATGTTTATCTGTAACCTAACTTCACTTTATAAACAATTAAATAATATTTTCAATCCTAACTTAAAAAAAAAAACACAAAAAAATATATTTGATATCTATTCGATTATTCCATTCCACTTACTTTTCTATCCATTATTTATTTTATTTTTATTTCCAAAACATTTTAGAATTTTATAGAACAACTTAAAATATGTATTTATATGAGTTATGTTGGTTTCATCTTCTGGTTTCCATTTCATTTTGACATTTCTTTTATGTTTATCTATAACCTTACTTTTTTTCTATAACCTTACTTTTTTTCTATAACCTTACTTTTTAAATAATTAAATACAAAATATTTTCAACCTTTCAAAAAAATGTGTTTTGTATTTACCAAATTATGTAATGGCACTTCCTTTTTATTCATTACTTTCTTCAATTTTTGCGATTTTATTATTCTCATCCTAACCTCACAATTTTTTTTATAAAATAAAGAAGAAATAATTTTCAAAACCTTTAAAGATTTTATAAAAAATAAATATTATATGTTTTTATTTGAGATTATTTTGGTTTCGTTGCTATTTATTGTTTCTATTTCATTTTGTCATTTCTTTAATATTTATCTATAACTTTACTTTTTAAATAATTAAATTTAAAAAAATTAAATTAAAATTTTAATTTAATGAAATAAAAAAATGTGTTTGGTATTTAGCCAATTATTCCATCCCATATTCTTTTCTATTTCTTTTTTCTTCAATTTTAATTTTTCCCATTTCCGTATTTTATCCTAACCTCACATTTTTTAATAAAATGAAAAAACGATTTTAAAGGCCTTTTGTGATTTCATAAAAAAATTAAATATTTTTATTTGATACTATTCCTGTTTCATTATTATTGATTTTCTTTCCATTCTATGTTGGTGTTTCTTTAAAGATTACCTATAATCTAACCTCACTTTTCAAATAATTAAAAAATTCTTTTAATTACATTTTCTCGCCGTACTTTTCTCCATAATAGTAACCAACATATTATTTCTTTTCATTATTTCCTATATTTTTTATTTTTTTTATTTTCACCCTAACCACAATTTTTTTAATAAATAAAAGAAAACGTGTTCTTGAGCATTTGGGATTTCATAAAAAACTTGCAATATTTTTATTTGAGATTATTTGGTTTCATATTTTGTTTCCATTTTCCATTTATGGCATTTTGTCAATGCCAATTTGTTGCATTAAAAATAATAATAAAAAAATATTTATAGGTTATGTTTAAGGCACACAATAATGACACAACATATATTATATAACTAGATTGTAATTAAGTAAGGGTTTTTAAGTTACAATATAGTATGAAATAACTTATGAATAAGTTTTTCATTCGATTCTTTCACATACACAACTTATAAAGAATATTTTTTTAAAAATAAAAAAAATATATATAAAAAATATATTTGGCATTTATTATTATAAATAATTAAGTAATTGTTTGGCACTTGAATTTTTGGTTTATAGAATTTCTTTGCGTTTCTTATTTGGTTTTTTTTTCTTCTTAATATTAAGTATTCAAACCTAAAAAAATAAAAATATTTACTGGGTACATAAAAAATAACCTTAAAATATATAATAAATCTCATTTATATATCCTATATATATTTAAAGAAAAAAATAAAATAGTTAGCAATCTTTGGTTCCATAATTAAGTCATTTTGATTTTGAGTATTTGTTTTGTTTTTTTCCTTGGCCTATTCGAGTTACAGATGATGGCACGCTCACATTAAGATTTCTTTTCATTATTATTACTTGTTTCCATATTTTCGTCATCTTCTTCTTCTACAACTTCTGCTCCTTCCTCATCGCCGGAATTTGATTTATCTGCTGTCGATTTATTTAAATTCGCCGTTAATTTCACCTTCACAAAAGCATTGCCATTAACCAATTTCGTTTCATTGCCCACCTCTGGGTTTTCTGGTTTTGGGGTTGACGCCCTCATGGGATGTGCTGCTGGTGCTGCTGCATTGTGGTGTTGTGTACAACTCTTCTGCTGCGATTGTTGTGTTAAAGCCTCTATGGCCACCACTGTCCTTTCCAACAGATTCAATAATCGCTCCTCACGAGCATCCATACGTCGCAGTAATTCTTCATCGCGTTTTTCCCGCCTCTTCAGATATTCGATTAGTTCATAATTGGTACTATCACTATCCGTAGATGTGGATAATTTACGTTTGGTTTTCGGTGTCTGACCACTGCTACATTCGGTGAGATTATCCGTATCCACAATTACATCGGGATGTAGGATGTTGTGATCCATATTATTGGGATAGAAATTTTGGGATCTGCAAAATAAGAGAACAAAATCAATTATTTTATTTTTATTATTTAATTTATTTCATAAATATAAATAAATTATTCCTAATTAATTAATATTTTCATTTAAAATCATTTAAATTCTCAAAAAACTCTCAAATCAAAGCATTTCTCTTGTTAATGCAATTCATACGATCAATACGCAAGTGGTACGTTACGTTACGTCTGCCTTGTTCACTAATTGTCATACATTTGATGTGCTGTCAAAGCAACTCTGTGTGTGAGTAAGGCAATGTAAAGTGGCTTGGTCACACATTAAATTTCCTTGTTATAAAATGCTTTTTTGAGTATTTTTTGGAATATTGCAGTTTTGAAAGCAGAAAAGGCACTTCTTCAGTAGATTAGGGGTAATCAAGTGTAAAATAAATTTAAATATAAACGAAATACTTTAAAATTATAAAAATAAAAAACAAATAAGTAAAAACGTCGTAAAAATACCACCAATCGTTCGAGACCTCCGTAAATGGCGGGTTATATCATGGCAAATTTTGGTAGGATGATTTGACACACAACGAGAGCCAAATTAAAGCCAATTCGCTTAAAAAGCCAGCAAAAAATCGGCA